CCCCGCCCAGCGCCCCGGTCGCCCTGCGCGCCCGGGAGCCCAGGATCCCGGGCGGGCGGAGTCGCTTTCTCTGTACCCCGGGCGGGGGCGATCGGGGCGCGGGGGCCGGGGCGCAGCTCCTGGCTGAGGCTGGCGACGCGCGCGGGAGGAGACGAGGGAAGAGGAGAAGGAGGGAGTCGGGGGTCGGGAGGGGAAAGGGGAAGGGAGAGGAGGCAGCAGCCAACTTCACCGGCCACGTGGGGGTCGCGTCAGGAACCGGGCGGGGAGGAATTCGTAGCGACTCCGGGAAGCAAGCGTTCCCCTTGGTCCTAAAGGCCTCTCCAGGCTCGGTGTGGGCTGGGGTTCTGAGGGACCCACCCTTAGGTCTGACGAGTGTCTGCGTGCCACCCCGCCCTGCAGTGCAACAACCCAGGGGACAGCAGGTGGAGCCCAAGACCCCACCCCGGGTGGTGGCGCGGGAGAACTGGGGGGCGGAGGGACAGAGGCGAAGAGCGTGGCTGCGCCTAGGAACACTGACCAGGACAATGGCATTTCTAACGTTATGGGAGTGCCAGGGCGCCTTACATTTGGAGTTTCTTAGGGAACCAGAAAGACGGTCAAAGTTACACATCCGTGCGCCCCACTTGAACAGCAAGAGCAGCCCTGCGGAGCCTCAGCCCTGCTCCCTGGCCGCGTCTGGGTGGTCAGGCTGGGGCTCCAGGGAGCAGGGTCTACGACTTCCCCAGGGCAGACTGCCCCTTGTGGAGAGCGGGCCACTGTCCTTAGCTAGTGGTGCTCGCCTAGGTCTCTGGTGACCCAGGGCCAGAATGTGTGAAGGGGACACCGGGTCCTTCTTCCTCTTGGGGACCCTCAGCAGCCCTGAGAGCATTGTGGCCAGGAGGGGGCACCGGGGAGCAGATCAGTGCTGCCCGCTGTTCTCAGCTCCTTGCTGGGTGACTCTGAGGTCCCGGTCCTACCTGTGGGACACCCACCTCCACCTCTGCAGGCAGCAGCCTGGCGTCTGCCCCACACAGGCTGCAGGGTCCTGGCCTGGGATCCTCAGGAAGGCCTTGCGCTGTCTCCCCTCCAACAGAAAGTTTTAAACTGGAGGAAGACACCACATTACCTTAGCAGGCAGCTCACCCTTCATGGGACACACCGGTCTGTTTTTTTCGTTTTTTTTTTGCTTTTTTTTTTTTTTTTTTCCGGTACTGGAAATCGAACTCACAACCTTGAGCTTGCTGGGCAGGCGCTGTGCCACTGAGCTAAATCCCCAGCCCAGGACACTCCAGTCTTGTGGCCCAACAGAACAGAGCTGACCCTGGAGACCCACTCTAGAAAGAGTCAGCAGGAGACTGTGCTTCCGGTGAAGAGCCCAGGCTTGAGGAGGCTTCTGAGTCCCACTGCTAGCCAGCAGCAAGCGGCCTCTCTCCTCCGTCCTGGCTCTCTCTGCCCCATCCTTCGGCTGGCTCTGGAGCCAGCTGTTGGCCAGAATGCCAGGGATGTTATACCTTTGCCCCCGGGGTGTTTTGTGACTCAAACTGGACTTTTTTTGATCTAACAGGTAGGCACCTGTGGGACACAGCACATTACAAGGCCCCAGAGCCCCCTGACTCTGCACCCCCAAAAGTGAGGGTGACAGCTCCAATGTCAGCTCTTGCGGAAGCTCCAGTGCCAAGTGCCTAGAAAATTCTCTGGTGGAGGTTTTGGGTCTCCCCTGCAGGGCTTCAGGGGGCTGTGCTGAGTGTGGAGATGTGGAGAGACAGAGACATTTAAGTAGGTTGCATTTCCTAAAAACGCTCCTGAGTCTGCGTTTTGGTTCTGAGTGTGTTGCGTTTATTTTTGGTAGTGCTCAAGGTCCTGCTTCTCCCTCCTGGCTGCGGGTGGCCCTGCGCAGATCTGCCTTGGCATCTTCCATGGGAGTAGCTGCCATTGGAGAGAGATTAAGAAATGGGGTGAAGTTGTGGTCCGTAAAAGGGTGTCCACTTAAGAAAAAAGGCCGCCTGAAAGAAAAACTAAAAAATTGCCATGATGTGGGAGACTTAAACTTGAAGTTATTATTTCTCCCATGCACTCATGTGGTCGCCAGATCCCCAGCTAGCAATTGTCTTTTCTTGACAGGACCTGCCCCCCAAGTTAGTCTTTCTGTGACCCACATGGGCCTCATGGTATCGAATAGAGCTCTTTCCCTGGGGTGCAGCCATCAAGGGTGAGCAGCTGACTGTCACCTGTTCCTGGCAGACGGCAGCTCCAGGAAGGAATCCTAAGTGATGTCCAGTTGGTGCCCAGGTGACATGAAAGGGGCCAGCACACATGACCAGAGTTTCTGCTTTGGTTACACAGGAAAGCCCAGTTGTTACTCGGAATGTGATCATCGATTTACTGTGCCATAGCATGGAAATAAAGGCCTTCAAGAAAGTCAGTGAAGAGTCACGTATCAGGTAGTGACAGAACACAGCAGAAACTGCCAAAGCCCCTGGAAATTGGTAACCTTCTCAACAACAGTTATTGCTTAAAAGAGATTACAGAACTCTCATTGAGGAGAGGTTGCAGGACCAACTCCTGTGCTTCGAGGAACTGTCACTCAGGCACCCAGAGAGCTGTCAGGCCTTTGGCCAACTTTCAGGAGAAGCTGCTACATGGCAGAGATGGTGATATGATAAGAGAAAACATAGATTCAAAGTTTTCCAGATAGGAGCTGCTCCTCAGTAAGCCTGAACCGAAATCTCCAGAGTGAGGGGTTGCCTGATGTTCAGGCTGGTGGCCGTTCAGAGACTAGGTTTAGATCTCAGGTCTCAGCTTCCAGCATTGGTTGTGACACCAAGGATAAAAAATACCAGTGTGCAGTTCTAAAACTAAGCAATTAACCTTGCTTTTTCTCTTTCTTAGCCAAATTGTTATTCAACTGATGAGATCCAAGCAAGAATCAAAAGGCTTCCTTATGAAAGTCGCCACTTGCTAACGTAGGGTAGGAAGATGTTGTGTTTGCTGCAGACCTGATAGAGGAAATGCTGTCAAAAACATGAATTGCTACCAAAAATAAAGGGAAAAAGATTCAGAATCTTAAGAAGTCCAGGAAAATGTTGGCATAAGTTTAGAACAGGAAACATGGGTGCAGTTGAATGTTCATGTCCCAGGGCATATTGGAGACTCCTTGTCCACCCAGGGGTGCAGGAGGTGCTGCCTGCAGGATGTTTCCAAGAGCCCTGGCATGCAGGTCCAGCCTGCTGACCCCAGACCCGCTGTCTAGTCTCCAAATCCAGGATGTTTGCTTGGAAAGAATCAAGGGAGAGAAAAGGAAAATATGTCTTCCTGCGTGTGCTGTCAGAGTGTCAGTTGGCAGTTACCACAGACTCCACACTGAAGCCCAGTGGTTTGAGGAGGGCAGGCTGTGCCCTCTTGTGTGCTGCCCTTGGCTACCAGGCCTGGCTGTCACTCGGGCCTGCTGGCCAGCTTGGCTGCGGGTCTCCTCTTTAGGAGCCTAATGGTTTGTTGGACTGAAAGCACAGTTCTAGGCGACATGGACACCGGTGTTCCCTGTTGATGTGTGACTTGTGGAGCTGGGCTAGGCAGAGCATGTGGTGAGCGGAGGTGGGGGTTTACGTTCCAAGGCTGCAGTGTGGTAGTGAGGTAAGTTTCTCGTAAATAGCCTGGCGGGATCTTGTCTGAGCTCCGTGGGCCTGAAACAAAGGCCTTGAAGAAGGAAGGGAAGTGCCCTGGTGACCAGTTAGCGTGGAAAGGACAGCACATGCGGCCCCCTGCAGCAGGAAGAGCTTCTCTATTTCAGTCACAAGCAGAAGCCCAGTTTTTACTCAGGCTGACCCCAGGGAATGAAAATGCTGAGCTGAACGTGGGGCCTGTGCGCTCCCTGTCCCCGCCCAGCAAAGGATGCTGATGGCTCAGTCCAGGCCTGTCTGGCTCCCCAGGGGCCAGCATGAACAGCTGGGTCCTGTCAGGGGCTGGCCACACCTCAGCAGAGAGGTAGGAAGCCCCGGTCTTGGGGCCAGGCAGCCTGGGCCGGCAGTAGGCACCTGCCACTTCCCATCACTCTACCCACAGGGACACAGCCGATTCTGTGGAGCTGAAATGAGCATAATTTCATCAGCTGCCTGGTATTGTGTGCAGCAGAGACAAGGATATGCTTTTCTGGTCAGAGTCACTGGGCATTGTTCTTAAAGACAGTTGGCCAGCCAGGGCTGCTGGGTGCTTTTCCCAGGAAGAAAGCTAGTGGTCATACAGAATCCTACGCATGGATGGGTGTGATGCTGAGGTCTTTGTGGGGAGAAACTTGGATAGAGGTGCCTGGAGTCCTTTCTCCCACCCAGGCTCTTCCTGCTGCAGTGGGCAGAGGTGCATGGGATGGGCATTGTCCTATAGTGCCAATGTCCTGGTCCCCTTGACCAGTTCCCTGAACTGCTCCCTCGTCACTGTGTACCTCTGAGGGCAGGCCCTGCAGGTCCTGCTGCTGCTCCTGGGAGGTTTTGTTATCTCTTGAGGAGCATGAAGCATGTTCTCTCTGTCCTTGGAGCTTGGAGCTGGAGAGACATCAGGCCATGGCTGGGACAGCGGGAATCAGAGCAAGGTCCTGTGGGAAGGACCCTGACCCCACTGCACTCCAGCTTACCCATCCTTTATCTGGTAAGCATTGAGCAAACTCCTGGGTATCTTAGGGATATGGTTTCTATGTCTGCAGCAAGGCCTTGAGTGTGGAGGACACATCCAAGCATCGGCTGCCTGAACAGCAGGACTGTGATATCAGAGCACAGGATCCGAGGTGTTGGCCTGAAAATGGGCAAGGTCTGGTGTCCCTGCAGACCCAATAGGAGGTGAAGGCAGCCTGCTCCCTGCCCTCAGTGTCTGCACCCCCGAGGAGAGGATTCCTTGC